GGGGGGGGGGGGCTGTGCCATGGCTTTAGAGCAAGTCACATCATTTTACTGGGTGTTTTGGCTTTGTTTTGTTTCTTAAAAGGAAATTATTCCTAAGATATAGTTGCAATGTACAAAATTAGGAACCCTCTCCCTTACTCAGTACAATCTGATTCCCTCCTTGATCCTTTTTTTAGACCTCAACTTCAAGGTCACTGACACAGAAAAAGCATTCTATGAGTGCTCCAAATTCAAGGTCCTGCCCTGTTTTACCGACCCGTATCTCCTAAGTGAAGTCAGCATAACCTTTAACCATAAGCTTTGTTTGTCTACTAATTATGATCTGTCTCCCTCCCTTGAGAGAAAATCATTAGCTGGGCCCTTGTTCCTTGTACCTCATGTACTACATTCCTGGCATGTTACAGGAGGTGAATGCATCAGTCATTTGAGTACACAGTCATTCACTGAATGTACTCTAAATAAGTTCTAAGCGCTCAAAAATATATATGATTTAGTCTCTTCTGGCAAGGAACCAGTAATTCAAAGGACATTAGTTATACAAGCAAAGACAGGAAACGTCCACGCAGCAGACACTGATGAGGGTCTACCTAACAGCAGTTGCCCTCTCCAACCTTACAGGTAAAACTCTGTGATGGTGAATTTTATGTATCAGGTTGCCTGGCATGGATGCCCAGATTAAATACTCCCTTTGGCTCTGTCTCTGTGTTTCTGAATCCATGCAAGCGCGCTTGAATCCATGAACTTAACAAAGAAGCTCGACCTCTCCAGGTGGGCATCATCTGATTCATAGAGGGCCTAAGAAGAACAAAACAGGAGGAAGGAGAATGTATTCTCTATTCTGCCTGTGTTATTGTTTTGTTTTTGGTTGAACTGGGGACCTTGTGCTTGTGAGGCAGGCGGCAGAACCACTGAGCTAAATCCTGGCCCCCTACCTGTTTTATACTGGAACCAATCATCTCATCTTTTTTCATCTTCAGACTGCCATTCACACTTGTGGCTCCCCTGATTCTCAAGCCTTTGAACCTGTACTGAATCACAAGCCCAGCTTTCCTAGGTCTACAGCTTGCAGATGTTGATGGGACTCCAAGGCCTCCATAATTACATAAGCCAATTCCCATAATAAATAAACAAATAAGTAATCTATTGGTCCTCTTTCTCTGGAGAATCCTGACTAACACAAGCCCCAATTTTATTGGAGTGTTCTCCCTCCACAAAGCCATGTACCCAAGGAGGATAAAAATCTCCCAGATGAGGGATAAATTCTTATTACTTTAAAATATAGAAAGGTTTACAGCTGTTCATATATCCATCTTTTAGATACCGGCGCAACTTGGCTGGGTTTGCCACAGGCAGAAAATCATACTCACTCCAACATACTCACACCCCCGAAGCCACCTGCAGCTGTGGACAGCTTCTTCTCTCTACCCAATGAACTGGCCAAATCCTATTTTCTATATGTGCCCCAATTGTAAAGTTGGAAAGCATCAAAGTATCACTTCGGGCAATCCGTTCTATATGCCAGTGTCTGACTTAAGGCCTAAGTGAGTGCAATCAGCCAAACAAGGTCTAAAGAGACATTTGCTCGGAGGTTCCAGAGAAGGTCCCTTGCTTTTAAACAGGCACACACAAGAATGAATGTCTTTTGTTAGGAAATGCCACCTTGTCTGCATGTGGCCCCTAAAATAAAGCAGCCATCTTAGAACCAGGAAAGCAACCAGTCAAGAACTAAGCAAACATGCTGAAGCTGGCAGAAAAGCAGCAAAATAGTGCAACTTTGATGACATTGTTGAGCCGCTAAACCAAAAACACCTATAGCTATACTTGCCCAGAACAACTTCTTCCTTGAGATAATTCATTTCTCCAACACTGACAAGCTTTATTTTGTAGATTTTTCAAGTGTAAGTTGGTAGAGCAATTCACAAGATAATTGACAATGCTTAGCAATCTGTCACCAGCTTAGCATTCAAAATCCTCTTCCTGCTGCATAGTGACAACCATCAAAGGCACCCTGGTGGGTCTCCAGTTGCTTGACACCAGGGAAAAGTGGATTTCAGTAGGATTCCAGATCTTCAGAGCCAGGACTTTGAATGCAGAGCCTTCCTATCAATCAGCAGTATACATGGAGAGGGTGGGAAGCTTTCTTCTTTTAAGTCCCTTGTTTTTCAAACCATTTTGAGTTGAGTGTTTGATTGTTTGCAGCCAAAAGGATCTTAAGTGATAAATCTATCTTCACATAATTAGCAGCAAATTTATGTGGTCTCCTTTGAGCAAAGACTCAGGAGAAAATGATGCAGAGACTCATAATTCTGCCAACATTCCCCAAAAGATTTAGATGATGGATCTTAAGTGAACCCCCTCCCAAAAGTAGACAACGGGGATTCCAGATAAAGATTTATCATGTGATCATTTTATACTCAGCATGAGAATTATAAAACACCCCATGAATGGGGAACTATCACCTCTTCTCAGTGTTAACTTAAGGGCAGTATAATTTTAAAATGTCAATTCATACTCTACATTTTCTTCCTGCATGTGCATTTCCCCTTCTCATTTCAAGAACTTCATCAGACTGTGTCTTGCCTTTTTCTCAGGCACATTCCAAAAGCATAAGGTACTAAAAGGCAATTTCCAACCCCAACCTCCCAAAATTCTGTCTCCATTAAGGACTTTTCCCCTAGAACCTAAATTCATAAAAGGAATGTGCTAGGCACCAGCAGAAAGGACAACAAAGATAAGTTTAAATTGTTTTGCTTTGCTTAAAATTGTTCTATTTCCTCTAAACTTCTTTAGGTAGATGGTTGCATTTCAATGAAGAATAGGCTGTCCGAGTAATGAAGAAAAAGTGCAGGCGTTGTAACTCCTTGATGCAGTACAGGTTGGCATTTGCTTCCTGGCAGAACTCTGGGGGTGACAGAATCTTTGACGCAGTGGTGGCAGGGTGCTGGGAACATGAACACCAGAGCCTTGAAATCACAGTGAAGATTTCAACCTCCTCTGCAGAGATACAGCAAGGCTTCACGGCACTACATGGACATGGGCCTTGCAAAGTGACTGGTGTGGACTGAAGATCAGACAGCCTTTTTTCCAAACGCTCTGTGCTGTGGCAGACCTGCAGCACTTTAATATCAAGGACTCTAAGTGAGTAGAAAACCCAAACGCCACTAAGAAAAAACATCCCAAAGTGCAGTGGAAAAAAATGTAATCAAGTATGTACACATTCATGATTAAAATTCACACATGTGGCTGAGTGCAGCAGCCTAAACCCCAGCTACTGCAGAGGCTGAGGTAGAAGGAGTGTGAATTGGAGGCCAGCCTGGGCAACTTAACAAGACCCTGTCTCAAAAATAAATAAATATTTTTAAATTCATGCATGCAATATTCAAAACTTTTTTTTCAAAATGAAACCCTTAAATCAGAATGCAAACTCAACATCTTTTCAGTTGGTTTGATATATCCTGAACCCCTAAAGGGCAGCACATTCCCAGGCCGAGTTCCCTTAGAATTAGAATGTAATTTAGATTAGAATATAATCATTCCTGAAAATTCTGCCACTTCATAAAAGGAAAAGTAACTGTAAAGCTGAAAGTTTCAAAGCCAATGAACATTATTAAATGTTTGTAAAACATTCAAATAAAAGGCCCTAACAGATTGCTTTTATTTTGACTCTCTCCAATGTTATACCCACTTATAAGAAACTACTTCATTTTCCTCCATGTGCTGAGAAATAACGAAGACTGAATATAAAGAAAAGAAGTATGCCTGGCACTTTAAATATTTGAGATTCCCAAATAATACAAAAGCATTTTCAAGTCACACATGGGATGTGAAGGGAAATGTTCTTGGAGGAAATATTCTCTAATAATACTTACCTGCTTCAGAGGGTGCTTCGAAGCTCTATTAACACCAAGGAACAGTTGGAGATCTTCAAATAAAATCACTATAAAAATGCAAAGTATTATTATTAAAGTTCTGAAATAATTTCACACCTAGCGATGAGAAAACCCCAGGCCAAATTTCACTGCTTATCTACTGCTTGATAAACAAAAAATACCACAAGCATGAAGGGTAGGGGTAGAACTCGAACAGAACAAAGACATCAAAGTTTGTCTTTTAATAAAGCTTCACATTTCCCTAGATGTCATTTTGGGAAGCAGGGGATGAGTCCCTTAAAGGTGAGGGGTAAATACAGGGACAACATACTCCTTGCTTTTGTACCAGAGATAGCAACAATCAGCTGAGCTAAAAAAATAATAATAATAAAAACATTTAGAAAAACACACAGCATAGCCCAATTGTATGGAACATATGTCCTCACAAAGCAACTGCCAAAGTTAAAAATGGCCAGATAATTCATTTACCAGAGTCATCTACCAGCATGATCTCATCTATGAGGTTAAAGAGAAGATGCTTAAACAGACAGTAGGATTTCTACTCAGCTATGGAGAACATTGAGCAAAGCAGCCATTTGCTGCTAATGTGGTAGCGATGATCATGATATGGTAATAAAAGTAATGACAGGATATAAAAAAGAAGTCCTCAAACCGTGATGGTCAGTGGAATTACCTGTGGAGATTTTTGAAATACAGTGATACCTCGATTCACAAACTCAATTCTTTCCATGATTCTCATCACCAACTGAACTGGATGAGAACCATTTAATTAAATTCAGTGGTTAGGTTCAGTGTTGACCTTATGAAGAAATTTTATTTGGTTCTCATTCAATTCAGTCTGTGACCAGCATTGTGGAAAGAATTAAATTCATGAACCAAGATACCACCGTAAGAATTCTTTGGTTCTCCCATTGTACAACTACTCATTCTGAACCTCTGAAGATAGAAACCAACCAACAATTGTTTGTGTGTGGTGCTAGGGATTAAACCCATAGCCTTGAGTGCTCTACCACTGAGCTACTCTCAGCCCCAGCAATTTTTTCTTAATACATTTGTTAGGATAAGAACTGATGTGACAATATTTGCAAAAAATGTCTTAAGAATGTAGAAATGGAGATGCCCATTTCACAGATTAAAAAACTTATCAGGAAGAGAGTGATTAATTTGTCCACAGTTCAAGAGCAAAAGCAACACTAAACCCACATCTGACTCAAGAGCACCAATACAACAAAAGATTTTCACTTAGATGAAGCAGATGCACCAACATGAATGAAAACTCCCTCCCAGATGAATGCAAGCACCGTAGCTACTTCTAAAGACTGTCAACTACTTAAAATGGCTACATCATTATTAACAACAATAAGTTACAAGCATTTCTATCTGAAAGCTATTATTATTACTGCTTCATTCCAAGAGGTAATACAAAATTTCAGGATATATAAATTATATGATTAAAACATTATCTACTTTTTTGGATGGTATTTTCTTCACTAATGGTCAAGCATTATAGCAAAATTCCAAGGCCATCAGCCTTCAGGGTACCAAAGTTTGGTTACCCCAAAGCAAAATCATCAAGATGGAGCTTCTAGTAGTTCCTATTCTAATAATTCAAAAGGGATTTTCTCAAATTTCTTTTTAAAATTCTTCTTGACATTCAAAATAAACATTAAAAACTCAGGCCTAGAATTAGATTTGTTATAACGTTTTAGGAATAACGAAGGTAAACATCAAGTAAATCAAAATGGCTCTTCAAATGTAACTAAAGTGGTCACGGTCATAATTACTGTAATAAAATGAGAGAAAAAAACTAAAATTGTCAAAAACGTAATTGATGATGAAAACAAATGTAAAATTATAGCATATTTCACCCCGGCCACCAAAGACTCTTGATGAAACTGCAGCCCCATAATTCCCCAGAATGAATTCTCTAAATTAAAATACTTCATGCAGAACAGAAATTAAACAATGAATCAAAGAACAATGCTGTACAGAGGTATGCTTATAAATATACCTAGCAAAGAGGAAACAATTACATTTTTCCACGTAAAACTACCTTGAAGGTAATGTTTCACAGGAGCCCAAGTTGGTACTTTTCCCACTGCTTCCAGCTTGGAAGTTCATTTCCTATAACTCACTTAAGGGTGACCTGGTAGAATGCAATTAGCTGCAGCAAACTGACTGGCTTTCTCCTTTGTGCAAAACTAGCTTCTCCATGCAACGGAACAACTGATTTTCACGATAAATTTCATCCAACTCAACTGAAATGGCACTCTGCATTTTATTTTAAATGCTTTATTTGGCCAGTTGGTTTTATTTAACTATTTTACCACCAGAAGTGGTACAAGAGCATTCTTTTTCCATCTAGCATTAATCTTACTAAACTGAACTCCATTGGAATGTCTTAACTGCAGAAAAGAAAGCAAAAGTCAGCAAGCATACAATTGCATTTGGCTACCCTCAGCACATCATTTTATTTCTTCTGTCTGCTAACTATTGCTCAGCACTTTTGCCTATGACAGAGGACAAGCAGGTGGTTAAGGAAGTTGTCCTGTCAGCTATATCTTTAATCCAAGTGTTTAAATCTCTGAATAAAAGGAAAATCAATGTTGTAAAGGCAATGTTTGTCAAGGCCATGCAATAAATACACTTACCTTTACGGACTGCTCTCAATGGATTTCCCTTCTTTGCTGAGCTACAAAGCTACAAAGAGATAAAAATGAAACACTGAGTTGTCTGCAAGTAAAACTCCAAATGTTTTTTTTTCCATATTTCTAAATAAAATTTCCATACAGCAGAGTATGTGGCACTAGCCAAATAAACCAGTAATAAAATGTGTGCCTCACACCTCCTGCACAAGAAGCCAATAAAAAAATTTACTGTGGTTTGGATATGGTCTGAATATTCATTCCCCAAGGCTTCACGTGTCAAAACGTCATTCCCACAGTATTGAGGTATGAAAAGATGAGGAAACAATCTGACTATGATATTTACAGGTGAGTCCTCTGGAAAGTAATTAGGATTAAACAAGGTCATTAAGGTGTAGACCCCAAGACTGAATCCTGCTGGTCAAGAAGAGGAAGAGAAACCAGACAAACACACGTACACTTGTGTCATTTGCCACGAGATGCCCTGCACAGCTTTGAAACTCTGCCAGCAAAAGGCCATCACTGAGTGTGACCCTTTTACCTCACACCTCCAAAACCATGAATCAAAACAAATCTTTCATTTGTTTCTACTTACCCAGTCTGTGGTATTGTGTTACCAGCAACAGAAAATGGGCTAATATGCAGTTAAACCGAAATTATCACACATCTACTCAACTAAAAGACAATCTTCGCAAAATCTACAGTCAAAAATTTTGTATAAGAATTCCTCAAAAGGGTAATGACTTAGAAAAAGTAGACAAGAAAATCAAATTAAACATTAATATAATACACACAATCTGATCTAGCATTTATTTCCTTACTCATTTTGTCATCTTTTCTGTATGCTCTATTTCCACTTCCCTAAAAAGTTTTACTTAGAGGAGTTTATTCCGCTTACTTAAGGTGCGTGGTTCTCCCAACCCAGACCTCACCCCTGGCATCCATGAGTATGTGTGTACCTAACATGCACAATCAACCTCTCTCTAGGTAGAGTACAGCCATTTCTCAGAAGAAACACAAAACAGAAAGTTACAACTGCACATTTCAAATCAAATCTTGGCTTTTTCAGTTCCTAGTGACCAAAATATACTATTCACTGACCACTCACAATTTAGGATCACCTGTGAAAAGATCTGTAAAATTATACTTGTAAAAAAAAAGCAGTAACTTCAAGCCTAGGATTTGGCTCAGTGGTGTCACCACACGCCTCACAAGCACAAGGTCCTGAATTCAATCCCTGGTACCAAAAAAAAAAAGGAGTAACTTCTGATTTCAAGAGGTGAATACTACAGTTGTTCAACATTATTTTTATGATGGTTCTATGAAAATAACTGGAATGTGCCTCTTTCTCTCATTCTTACCTAAATTCTGCTAGCTCCTAAATATTCATTAATTGGAAATGATCAACAACCAGTTGATTTTCCCACATCTTTTTTTTCTTTCTTTCTTTTTCTTTTTTGGTGCTGGTGATCGAACTAGGGTCCTTGTATTTGTGAGGCAGGTGGCAGAACCACTGAGCTAAATCCCCAACCCCCACATTTCTTTATTTGTCCTTAACATCCTAGGTAACTGCCTTAGCTCTTGCTGGGCTATCTCCCTCACCCCACATCCCTCTACCTCAACAAAGAGCCAACTACTACAGATGGATGCTCACAAAAGAATGGGCCAGACTTATGGACTTTAGGTTAAAAATCTCAGAATATCAATGCAGGAAATAAGGCCCTTCCATTGGAAAGTATTGGAAATCTCTCCTTTCCTCTGTGTTACATGGAAAGCAACAGGGTTAGGAGAAAATAATTTAGGAAAGAATAGATAAAAAGTATCGTATTGTATTTTGTGAAATATGAGAGGTGTATGGATTGAGTCTCTACTAAAACACATAAAAATGTTAAAGTGATAAACACATATAGAGATATATATAGAGATAGAGATGATATAGATATAGAATATATCTCCAAGTTCAAAAGAAAAGGAATGGTATGAATAAAGAGACAATAGATGTGAATTTTTCGAATGGAAAATAAGTCTTGAAAAGCACAGCAACATTTCAAAATAAATACAAACAAATCCAAACTTAGATGCTCAGAATGAAACCACAGAACACCAGAGATAGAAAATAAGTCTTCATGTCACCTGGGGTTGTAGAGATAAAAACAGACTTCTTGCAAAAGATCATGTCATTCACAAAAACAAAAGTAAACCAGTAATGTAACAGCATGTTCACAATGCTAAAGAAAAAAATGGTTCAACTAAAATTCTGTACTCATGCCAAACTTATCATTCAGAACTGACAGAGAAATAACACATTATCCAGGAAAAAAAAAAAGATTATTTATTGTTTTCACGGAAGTTCATTTTTATGGAAAGATATACTTGAATAAGAAGGAACTAACCCAGGGCCAGGGATTTAGCTCAGTGGTTCTGGCGCGTCTCACAAGCATAAGGACCCGAGTTTGATCCCTGTTACCAAAAAAAAAAAAAGAAGGAACTAACCCAGAAGGAAAGAGTAAGAAGCAAGAAAGAATAGTGACAGAGGAACTGGCATGATGATAATTCTAGTAAATTTCATAATAAATGAATACTAATTAAAAATTATTAAGCCCTATTTGTAAAAAGAGGGGAAAACTAGTAACAACTAATGTTTAGGGGTGGCAAACAAAGTGAAACTGAGAAATGTGTCACAAGGGAGTGGGAAATAAATAGGAAGAAGACAGAAATACTCAGTAGGCTTTTAAAGATAGGTATTAAAACTACTGATTAACTTGTTCAGAAGAAGCAACTTTGGGCTGGGGATTTGGCTCAGTGGTTCCACCACCTGCCTTGCAAGGGACCAAGCTTGATCCCTGGTACCAGAAAAAAAAAGAATAACCAACATTGCACACATGCACACATTCTCAGAGATTCATACAACAATGTTTAGAGCAGCATTGCTAGAATGGCAAAAAATGATGACTGGACACAATGCAAACATCGATCAACAGTATGCTGAACACATTTTTACAGATGCTTACAATGGAATGTTACACATATTTGAAAAATCAATGAAACTATTACCCACATCAACATGGGTACCATAAAGAAAAGAAGCAAGCCACAGAAGGTAAAATAAATACTGTTCTTTGGGATATAGCATGTAGTGGCAAAAAGCTATCAATAAAGCAATTTATTTATCAATAAATTCTGGTTTATACAGAATTCAGAGCATCAAACTTGGGGTGGGGAGAAGGTACAATAGAAGAAAAGCATTGGGAGGATTCTGGGATATGGCAATGCTCTGTATTTCTTGGCTTGCAGAGAGGTATTTAGATGATTCGTCTTTCATTTTCTTTAAAATATGTGCATCCTCAAAATCATTTTGTATTATATATTACATATCACCTTAAATTAGAAACTGGCCTTTATTTTCAAGTCAATCTATCTTATTCACACAGAGCAAGCCCCAGATTCTATATAAACACCAACAATCATCCAATAAACATTCATCGAATAAATAAGTACAAGTGGATTTTATGTTCTTTGTACATATCTTTGGTGTGCGAAAATTTATGTGTTTTTGTACATGTATTTGTGTGTTAATAATCCAAAGTGGAAACAAGTCAAGAGCAAAAAGCTCTTGCTCTTGTGCCCAAAGTACATATCACTAGACAAATGCCAAATGAATAGCCATTCAAATAAGCCCTTTCTTTCCCATGTTCTCCCTGATCCCAAAACTTGGAGACCTAAACTTCTCTAGGCCACGAAAACATTTTCACTACAGCTGCTATGTTATAGTACTTCCCTTTCTTCTCATGTCTTACATGCTCACCTTTTGTTCTAAAGCAGACAATGTCTATATCCTTCATATGACCTTCTGCAAGACGTAAATTAGATTTAAATGAATCCAAATAGGTTTAGATTTCAGCTGCTCCTAAAAGAAATAAACATGGAAGCAGGGCATAACAGGCTATGACACACTGATTTATCTTGGTAGTTTTTCATATTTTTACAAACTCCAAGTCCCTCCATCCATGTTCAAGTCCCCAACACCCCTAAAAAAGTGATCTGAATATAAAGAAACATCTTTCTCAAATCAAAAGTCTACTTTGATTGTAATTCAACTTCTTCCAATGGAGCCCATGTCTGGAAACCAACCAACTATACTTTACTTAGGCCAAGTTTGCATAGAAAAAAGAAATTTGACCCAACTTTTACCTTCTGCAGCTCTCACCTGACTTACCTGTCACGTTGAGGGAGTGGTTATTAACCTCTAAGTCTTTAACAATTATCAACATAACATACCAGGGAAAGAGTCTGTGCATTTGAATGCAAAAATGAAGAAACTGAATAAACTCAGCCTTAATTTTCATTTTTATGCTATATTCAGTGAGCTGTTACTGCAGACAAATTATTGCAACATTCTTTCAAATGATAGCCAGTTTTCAACTAAGAGAAGATTCTTAAACCTCATCCTAAAGCCTTTTTTTACATATCAGTGAAAACCAGGCAGTTGGAAAACACAGCTCTGGTTAAACTACCTGATGATGAATGAATATTTTAAACATATGGTATTATTTGAGAATCCGCAGTGATTTAAACCCACTCATGAAATAGTAGCAGCAAAGACCTCTCAAAATTAGCACTTTTTGGATATACGCTTAAATGTTTTATTTCAATTTATATGTATGTATTTCTCATGGAATATTCTGAGAATTTATTAAACAAGTATATGTGAGTTCAGAGGGGATGACCAGAATAAATCTTAGTTTTGTGATTTACTCTGAAAACTGACTAATACTGTAAAAATGAGTATGTGAAAATCTTTCCATTAGGCCTAAATTCAACAATATAAACCACATCTGTCTTGTTTTACACTGAATCTATATCCTCTAGGTCAGTGTCTAGCATAGAACACATACAATGAAATTGGCTTAATAAAGGAATAAATTTTCATCACTATCAAAAGTGAACACTGATTAGGAATTCTAAAGCTAAGCTTAGTTTTGGGCTTTGTTTCTCTCTCTCTCTTTCTCTCTCATTTTGTACTTTACAATTTCAAAATTCAAAAATATTTCTCTCTACAAAAGCCTGACCTTTTGGGGCATCACTCACACACACACACACACACACACACACACACACACACACACACAAAACACACACAAAACCACACCCTTGCCACACCTGTTCAATACTGTTATATTTGCTAGGCATCAAAAAAGTAAATTTGCCAAGTAGCATGAGAACCAGAAAATCATTAGGTAACAACTGAGGAATAGAATGCCAATCGGCCAATAATCAGCATCTGAAAATTCATAGAATTACACACAAATCACATTGCGTGAAACCTCAGGGAGCATGACCCATGCTGGGTCGGTGCCCTGACTGCAGGGGTTGGGTGCTGACCATGAGACAGCACTAGAAAGTACCAGCCTAACCACAGGAGACACTGTGACAATGTGACATTTGCACAGGGATGCCCTAACATAGCCCCGGTATGTTTTCTCAGAATGGGATGACATTTCGAGTCAAACAACTCTGCTCCCAATAGCACTTGCTCCCCAAACTCCATGAGCCTAAATTTGAAAATACAGGTACATTTTAGGAGGTAACTCAGGTTATGCAGATGTGGTGTCAAAATGATCCATTTTTAAAGGCGGTCTAACCAGATATTCAGTGTTTAACCTCCTTTTTTACCTTTATATCATTACATAGAGCTCACATAGCCCTAGTCTTAAAACCTCTTGTGTGTGCAAACTCCTATCCCGATGCATCGCCACCAGATCCTGCTAAATGTGTGCTGAAACCAGGTATAAAGATATGCTACCGAGAGACCTGAAAGGGACTGCACTGTGGCCTCACCAAACCTCTGCTGCCTGGAACTGCTGTCCACATGTGAGTCAGTCCAAGGACATAGGACAGCTGCTGTTACCACTGTCTCCAGCCATCTAACTAAGGTCACCTTTCCTGCAAGGCTGATTCATTCCAGGAAGGAAAAGGACAGGTCAGAGAGTGCCAACTCCCCATTTGGTTTCTGCAGTTGCCAACTCCATGCCCCACATGGCTTAGGGAAACACCCTTCAGGGGAGTCCAGGATGAGGGGCCCAACTTTCCAGCAGAATGACCCCACCCTGGGGGTTAAGGCTCACCCTCCACCACCTGGCCTGCATGTGCCAGTTGAATCTGCACCCATCTGATGTGAGGGTTGCTTTCTGCCCGTCCCCAGCTCCACTGCAGGGTCAGGTGACAGTCTGTGCTCTGCCTGGCTCCTGGCCCAGTGTTCAAATGGCCCAGCCACATCACTATGGAGAGGGAGTCTGGTTGTGCCCTCCTCTGAACTCTCCATCTGGAAGATTCTCTGGTCTCTTTCCCTCTCATTTTTAATCTGACAGACACTGCTGGACAGGGAAACTCAGAGCAAACCAGAGTTCATCTTTCCTTCTCTGCTGCTCGGCTGGTATAATTGCAGGGGCAGAACAAGGTTGGCCCAGACCAGGATGCCAGGAATTAAATGAGGGCCCTGACCACTAGACCACATTAGTCCTGCCTTCTAAAGTCTCAATTAGTTCTCCTCAGCATGGCACACCTGCTTGCTTCTGGAACCCACAGAAGTGACAAGGTACAATGCCACCCTCAAAGCAAGTATTAACAGAATATTGGTTGAGCATGGCAGTCACCAGGCCTGCTGGTTCCGGGCTTTGCAATAGCAGTCAGTCTAAAGCTCTGAGCAGCAGCAGCAAGATTTCTGCTCCCCTTTCTCATGCAGGCAGTTCTACCAGCATTCTTCTGAGTGATATTCAGCCAGTAGCTCAATTTGGAAACAAAATGATCCTAACAAACAGTGGCAGACTTGACAGACAGGCTACTGAGCCTGGGGACCAAAACAAAGGATGCAAACTAGAAGAAAGGAAGGGCTGATGGCAAAAGACAGAGAAGAAAATGAACACTACACAGAAAAACAGAGTACAGGACTAGATACCTCAAGTCTACAACTCAGAAATGAGCTACGAACATAACAGATTCAAGAGTGGAAACCATGGGAGTAGATCAAGGCAAGGGAAGGGGGCAGCATCTGTTTGGAATTTTGATGCTGAGATAGACACAGGGCTAGCAGCATAACAGCAGAATGGATTTGACAGTAAGTAATATTTGAGAGGTTTCGAAAGACAATGAGTGTTAATTCTATCCTGTTTTTCACCTCTTGAACTATAGTGACATACCAAAATTTGCTACATTTCTAAGGGGACATTGTCAGATACAATGGAAACTCTGAATACATTTTTTCATCTGCATTCATTAACTCTGGCCCTTATCCACAGGCCTACTGCAGACTAAATTGGATTTTGGATCACTGGTACTGAGGCACTGCAATTAATTAACAATAGAAAAATAATATTTATATCCAGGCCTAACAACATCTGACATTTAAACTATTCTGCCAGTCGGGCAAATTCCATTCAACAAATTTTAATTGTAATGAACATGACAGGCCACAGTTTACATGATAGACCAAGAAGCAGAATTGAGTTGATCTCTTGGCACGTGCTTTCAATGCCTTGCCATGCTGCAGGAGAAATAAGCTAGGAAATTCGGAATCAGAATAACAGAAAGACCTGATCCCCAATTCCACTCAGATAAACCAGGACGTACCACCCCACATGCCTCCTCAAATGCCCTAGGATGAAACTACCCTTGTTTCCCATGCAAGCTCAAAGTTAAATACTTACTGCCCCTTATGACATACTGGCTAATTTTTGTATCTTTGGGTTGTTGACATTTTCTTTGGGGTACTAAAATCCCTTACTCTTTCCTAATTAAAAAGTGATAAACGTTTTGCAAGCCATCCAAATAATGTGCAAAGTACACAAGAGTTGGAACTGGTGCAGCTTTTTCAGTTGGCACAGGACTGGCCTTCTGTATTTTGCCAGATGGTGTATCTCAGTAAGTCCCCAATCCCTGACTCAAGTGAGGGGCATTGTCAGTATGAGGCTGAAACAGAGAATGTCTTTAAATGCTGTCTTATTTTGCATTGCAATAACACCATGGGCCTAACATTTATTCTTGCTGAAACTTTCAAAGTTGAAGTAGTTTTCATTTGTCTATGACTCACTCGAGCTAACACAAGATAGTACAAACAAGAAGAAAATTTCTGGCTCCATGAGAACCATGTAAATTTTCTGGAAACCAATGTCAGAGAGCAGATCTCCTTGCCTGTTTTCCTACTGCTCTTCTAGGGAATATTGGTCTCTAAAGGACACTGGATGAAATAGTGTGGATTGATCAAAACCCATGTCTGCTACCCCAAAAATATGGGATGTAAAAGAGAGAGATGAAGATGAAAAATGCAAAGTACACAAGGCAGATAAAAGCTTAGCAGATAAGAGAAACAAAGTGAAAAAACTAACCACAAATAGCTGATAGGACCCCCTTCTTTTTGGAAGGGTAGTGTATTTCTAGTTCACATTCCTAAAACACGCCTTATTTAGCTTTTATGTTAATTCAAAAGAACTGAAATAAAGTTGCATTTTAGAAGTAATACCTATTTGGAGTATGGATTTGGCTGACGGGTTACAATATCAACAACTGAAATAGCGACCTTCACGGTGATACTTCCTCAAGCCATGACCCTGACTAAGATCCAAAATGGAAACCAGGCTTCACATTACTGTTAGATATGGTTATGGCTATGACTGACAGAAGGACGACATTATTTCTGCTGTATGACCTGAGATGCACTATGGTTTATGTAATTTGATGCCATACAGAATATGGACAGATATATGCATTAATTACAATCACATTTGAGGACTTTACTTGCATTCCCTCATACATACACACACTGAGATAAGTACAACTATGAAGTGTATTACACATTAAGGAAAAGGTAGTTACACTTAACTGCCCTTCCTAAGAGTGAAGTCCAAAGTCACA